AAGAACCATAAATATGGTTCTCCAATACAGGCATTGCAAGTATCAACCACGCATAATTTCCGAGAGGAGAGAGAGGGAAAGAGAGAATAGATTTATGACTTTTGCAACCTATTTCATGCCTTCTCTTGTTGAACTGTATAAATTATCTCTTTGGAAATAAATAGCACAGGCTTTGGGAACACTAATACAATCAAGCTCATCTGTTTCTGGATGAATGGATAGTCACGTGACAAATGGCCAAGAACCTCAGCCCAGAAGTATTTTCCAAGGATTTCTTGCCATAGTCTACCTTTTGCTTTCCTGACTGCAAACAGAGGACTTACACAATTCTAAGTTTCTATATCCAATGCAAAATGAAATAGGAAGGCTGTTTTTTGCCTATCGTGGCAATAGCACAGGACCAGTGAAATAATGACACCTGGCTTACAACAGCAAGTCTTTGAAGGTGCTGGTCATGGCACTTTTTCCCACAGCAGCCTAGTGACCACCATTTAAAAGGTATAAACTGGGGGCACCTGGGTGGCTCAGTCACTTGAGCATCTGCCTTTGGCTCAGTTCATGATCCTAGAGTCCTGTGATGGAGCCCTGCATGGGGCTCCCTGCTCAATGAGGAGTCTGCTTCTCCCTCTGCCTGCTGCTTCCCCTGCTTGTGCTCGCTCTCTTTCTTTCTCTCTGTCAAATAAATAAAATATTTTAAAAAGTATAAATTGTTTAAACCCATTTTTAAATTTAATTTTCAACACCATGGTCTACTTTGTATTAGTTTTTCACATAGTCCCAGATAAGATTGTTAAATTTCAGTTGATCTAGATTATGATGACATGCAAACTGAGGTAGAGCCAAGTTTACCTCAGCCTGGTGGGTCCAAAGATTCTACTCCTGACTCACATAAATTTTAATTCAAATACTATATGCTCCTTCTGAGAGGTGTCATTTCCCCCCCCCCCCCCCATACAATAGACTTGGTGCTTCTAATTGGAGGAAGGGACTGTCTGCATCCTTTGCTGACTGCGTCTCTCACGGGTATACTGACAGCTTTGGTTGGGTGAATTAAATGAACGTAAATAATTGCCAATATACTGTTAGGATGCACTGTCCAGGCTCCCCCCACTGTCAGAAGTCAGCCACTGCAGTGCATATTTCCGTTTAGAGCAAAGGCAGGTATTTTTATTGAACCAGGACTTCCAAAGTGAGCCAAGAATTATGTAAATCATGCTGATTCCGTATGGAATATATGCATAGTAAGCGCCCCCTTACCAATCTGTGGTTTCGCTTTCCGCAGTTTCGGTGGTGCGGTCGGTAAAGAGGGTTCCATATGATCCCCGCATCCACTGAGGGTCTTGGAACATATTTCTTGTGGGAAAGGGGGACCTACTATCATGCAGATTAATGAGGATGTTATAAATTTAATTGCTTTGAAGAAAAAAAGTGAACTGATATTTATAGGAATCACATTTAGACATTGTAACTTCTTAAGCAGGTCTTAGACCCAGTTGAGTCTTGTAAGTAATATTTTTTACACAATCTGATTGGTGTATAATTGAGATACAGTAAACTGCACATATTTAAAATGTATAATTTGATGAGTTTTGACATATGTATATCCCTATAAATACAATCCAGATGATGAGCATACCATGAGCCTTAAAAGTTTCCTCCTCCACTAGGGAACTGTTGATCTTCCTTCTTGCCATCACTATATATTAGCTTGCGTTTTATAAATTTCACATAAATGTCTGGCTTCTTTGACTGCAGACTGGTTACTCTGTGTTGCTGCATGTCCATTTCTTTTTCTTGCTGAGCAGTATTCCATTTGTAGGGATATTCTACGGTTTGTTGATGGACACTGACCTGTTGATGGATGTTAGAGCAGTGTCCAGCTATTACAATAAAGCTGCTATGAACATTGATGTACAAACTTTGTATGGACATGTTTTTATTTCTCTTGGGTAAATACCTAAGGGTGGCATGACTGAATCATCTGGTAGCATATGTTTAACTTTTTCATAAATTGCCAAACTGTTTACCAAAGTTTCTATACAATTTTATATTCCCATCAGTAAGAGTTCTAGTTACTCCACATTCTTTTTTTAAGATTTTATTTATTTATTTGACAGAGAGAGTGCAAGAGAGAGCAAGAGAAGGGGGAAGAGGGAGCCGACGTCCGCTGAGCAGGGAGCAGGATGTAAGGGTGGAGCCCAGGACCTGAGATCATGATCTGAGCCAGAGGCAGACGCTTAACTGACTGACCCCCACCCCCTCCAGGCGTCCTGTTACTTCACATTCTTGACTTGTGGCCAGTCTTTTAAAATTTTAACCCTTCTAGTAGGAGTAGTGCCATCTTCTTGTGGTTTTAATTTAAATTTCTGTAATGACTAATGATGTTGAGTGTTTTCTTAGGCTCTTTTTTTTTTTTTGCCACTAATTTTTTTCCCACTGTGTTTATGGGTGTATACCTAAGTCAAAACTTAAGAAACTCTGTTTCATTTTTTTGAAGTATTTCTTCAGGTCTTTTGACCATTTTTTTAAATTGTTTCCTTATTATTGAATAGTGAGAGTTCTTTATATATTCTTCATAAAAGTCCTTTATTAGATATGTATGTGTGCCAATATTTCTTCCCACTCTGATGCTTGTCTTTTAATTTCCATAGCTGTGGCTTTGGAGAACAGTTTCTGATTTTGATGTAGTCCGGTTTATCAATTTGTTCAGTTTTAAATTTTGATATAATCCAATTTATTAATTTGTTCTTTATGAATAATAGTATTGTATTCAAGAAACCTTTGCTTAAACTAAAGTCACAAAATTTTTCCACTGTGTTGCTTCTAGAAGCTTTGTAGTTTAAAGGCCTTTAAATTTGGGTCTATGACCTGTTTTGGGTTAATTTTTTTATATATGGTGCAAGGTACAGTTTAAAGTTCATGGTTTTGCAAATGGATATTCAATTGTTCTCATACCATTTGTTGAAAGAACCATTTTTTCTTTACTGAATAGCCTTTGTACCTAGTTGAAAATTATTTGTCCACAGATATATGCTTCTATTGTTGGACTCTCTTCTGTTCTGTTGATCTACTTGTGTATTTTAAGTCAGCATGACACTGTCTTTGTTACCATGGCTTTGTAAGTCTTGAAATCAAGTACAGTAAATCATCCAACATTCTTCTTCTTTTTCAAGGTTGATTTGGCTATTTTAGGTCCCTTGCATTTCTGTAAGAAATTTGGAATTAGCTTCTCAATATCTATAATAAAGCCTGTGGAAAATTTGATTGGGTATTATATGAAATGTATAGATTAATTTGGAGAGATATTACATTTTTTGACCCATGAAAAAGGCATACCTTTCCATGTATTAATTTTAAAAACCTCTCAGTAGTGTTTTGTAGTTTGATAGCAATATGTACAAAACCAACAAAAACCCATAACATAGCCAAAAAACACCATACTTTACAGATGTTTTACTTTTATAATCTTTAAAACTGTAAACAGCAATATGAGATTATATTAGAAATTAGAAAAGCCAGAAACAATCTTAAAAGCTTCTGAGGTGGTCAGGGAGACACAGATCATCTGCAAAGGAATAAGAAACATCAGATTTTGGAACTGTAGCCCTAGAAAGTAGAAAAGTGACTTTTAACTTAGAATTAAAAGCATTAATTTACTAAGCTAAAGATAAGAAAAATAAATGCCCAAAGTGAAAAGAAATTTACTTCCCACACAGCTCTTTAGGATATATTCAAGCAAAGTGAGAATACCAAGAAAAAAGAGGGAATGGAATACAGGCAACAGTGGCTCCATCATGGGAAAGCAATACCAGGGGCTCTCAAGATGGCAGCAGGTGGAGAGGACGACTCCAGAATGGAGCAGGATGATGGAGGACTTGCAGAGAGACTCTATAGAGAACTAGGGGTTCAAAAGAGTACTCGATCCCTGAGTGGCACAAGAGGTCAGAGAGAAATGTCAGTATAAAATAAAGGCAAACAAAAGATGCAAGAATTAGTAGTTAGAATTTCAGGAAACATAAAAAAGCTCAAATACAAAGGAAATGTAATGATAGAGAACACTAGCTCTACAGTGAAAAATACTGTACCAACTCATCTGTATGCTTTTAGAATCTATAGGCTGAGCATTTGGGACTTATATATAGCTATTGAGTAAGGTAAATGAGAAAGCAAATATAATCAGAAGTGGAGAGGTTGGAGAGAGGAGGAGGGGCTCAAGGGAGGTATGGGGGCCCTAAAGTCTTCATGTTTGAGGATACTGCTTAGTGTGGATGGGAACAAAAAAGAAAGCTGTTAGTATATCCTTTAAGTGACATAGGTTTCCAAGGAAGGACTAAAAATGATGAATTGGAAAGATGGGAAGGGGGGTGGCTGTGTGCTAGGGACCTGCCCATTTAGGTAAGATGGCCTTGGGTGCCAACAGTGCCCTGCCCAGATACCTGACCCTGACCACAACTGCACACAGTGGCTCTGTGTCCAATTAAGCTTCTGCATTTCTTTGCTTTGGAGTTTCTCCTGCTGCTGGAGCTCACCTGGCTGCCCATTTGACAAGAGTAGCTCTAAACTGCTGATACTGCGCATGGTTTTTCACTGGCTCCCATTTCTGCACTGGGCTCTAACTCTAGGTTCCTACAGTGGCAGCTGGTTTGATGCCTACCCTTTCCTGGCTTCCTTCCCTGCCTCATTGTATTTCCGCATCCTGCCCAGGAATACCTTACATTGTGGTATACTTCAGAGGGAACACAAACTGAAATAGTCCACCACCAATAGATCCGGTCATAGCAGCAAACACATTTTATTTTGAGATTACGGAGGAACATAGCAAAAGAAGCATTTAACAGACCAACAAGTAGTTACTTCTAGGGAATAGGACTACAGAAGGAAGGGATAGAACAGGGGACTGATGCCTTCAAATAGGTACCTATCCATGTGCTACTTTATTTTTTGACAGGGAGTAGGATGTATTGGTGGGCATGGATAGGGAGGGGGCAGTGCCGAGGTTCTCATGAGTGCAGAGCCCTCCATTTGTCCAAGGGGCCACAATTAAGGGTGAATTTGACCCTGCAGCCATCTGGGATGAGCCGCTTTTCAGCTACCATGTCTTCAAATTCATCCTCATTAAACTTAGTAAAGCCCCACTTCTGGATCTTCTGGTGGCCAGGGAACTTGAACTTGGCCCTGTGTAGGGCCTCAGTCACATGCTCCTTGTTCTGCATCTTGGTATGGATGGACACGATGACTTGACCAATGTAGACCTTGGCTACTGTGCCCTGGGGCTTTCCAAAGGTACCCCACATACGTGTCTGCAGCCTAGATTGGAAATAACTTGTGGTCAGACCTCAATGTCTACTGGAAAGGGCTATTTCCAGGGTCCCTTCGGGTAACCCATAAAATCAACAGGCTGTATACACTACCAGGGAGGCTACCATTTGCAGCCATGGCACACTGGGCCCCCATGGAGAAAGAGCACAGTTGGCTTAATTGGCTGCAGACATGTGCTACTTTAACATAAATTTAAAACAAGCATTTAAAACATAAAGCAAACTAGAATACTGTGAGGAATGGGGCCAAAACAAGAGAGCACAAACATATCTGCATGGCCTGGCCTGGGATCCAGCTCCCAGTCTCTTAACTTTATTTGAAAATCTCAGTCATTTTTGAGTGACATCCATAAACTGGGATAAATTATCGCTTGGGTATGAACAGCCGGAAAACACTCTCTGTGCAGAAAATTCACATGTACAACTTTAATCATAATAATGGGGGTTAAGTATACTTCCCACCTTGTGTTTTCACTGTGTAGGAAAAGACACACAGAATACATTACTAATCACTGTGGCAATGGGATGGGATGTTAGTTAAGTAAAACAATACCTCATGAGGCACCACTTTATGAAGAGGCTTTATATAGGGCGCCACTGTGTAGTTTTCATTTATAGGAAGGAACGTTTTGTGTCTTGGGTTTGCATATTGTTTGTAGATGGTGCTGGGTATTCTCTGGATAGTACACCATGTCCCAAACGGAAGCTATAGCCCCAGGGCTCTATTTATAGAAGCGGTTCTTGACAGCCACGAAGCCCTAGCAAAAGACTATTTCAAGAAACCGGCCTTGGCCTCGACCTTCCACTAGGTGGCAGACTTCCCCCAGTTCTGCCGGCTGCAGGCGCCCGGCAGAGGGACACAAAGCCTCTCTTCTCTCTGCTTTCTCCCTTTGCTTCTGTCTGGAAAATCACTAAGCTGCCTGGGGCCAGATTTAGATTTCCAGGAGAAACCATCATTACCTTATTAGAGGAGAGAAGGTAGGGTTGGTCTGTTCTGATTCCATGGGAGAAGGTGACAAAGAGGTCTTTTATATGTAACACTGGAGAGAGGCGGCTTCTCTTTTATAGACGGTTCTTCAAAAATTGAAAAATTCCATGTTTTACAAGTCCAATTACAAACAATTGAAAAAAAAAACCTCACAAGTATTACCGATCCTATGCAGGATTATAGTTAAATGTGCAGATATTTTTTATAGGAGATATTTTAATATTTGCTTTCATAGTGTAATGAATCTTTTCTCATTTGCTTAAAATAATCTGAGAAGTGTACTCATAATTCCAGCTTGAAGTGCAAGGGCAGTAAAATAAGTATAAAAATAAAATTAAATAAGCAAAATGCACCACAAAATTGAATTTGCTCCATTTTCTTTTAGGGATTTTTTTGTTTTGTTTTGTTTTAAGAAATTGTTTTCATTGATTTGCGTAGTTCTCTGGTTGACATGTGTTGTTTGTGTTGTTGTTTTTTAAAGATTTTATTTATTTATTTGACAGACAGAGATCACAAGTAGGCAGAGAGGCAGGGAGAGGAAGCAGGCTCCCCGCTGAGCAGAGAGCCCGATGCAGGGTTCTATCCCAGGACCCTGAGATATGACCTGAGCCAAAGGCAGAGGTTTAACCCACTGAGTCACCCAGGCACCCCTCTAGTTGACATGTTTTGAAAGAAATATGATTCAGGTTTCAGACTGAGATTAAGATAAACATGTTCTGGTGTCCCTGGGACAATAAGTACCAGAAGAAGAATTTAATAAGAAAATCAGGTAACTCAATCTATATTTATGGGTTAATCTGGGGTGTTCATGAATTCCATTAAACAAGTGGAAATATTTACAAATTTCGATCAGAGGAAAATAGAAATTAGGGTGGGGAAGAGAACTGTTAGATTCAGTTGTGTTGTGGGGTCCCCCCCCAACTCACAGGGTCTACTAGATGTTTACCTGCTCCCCCTACCCCACCCCATCATGGGAACTGAGAAGAGGTGCCAGGCCCTGGACTCCTTTGCCTCTTCCTTTCTCCTTCCTCCCCACCCCACCACTTCTTGAGTGTTTTTTTTTTTTTTTTAGTGATCTTTCTTTACTTCCCAATTCTCTCTTTCCTCTTGTTTGTTAACTTAGCACTAAAAAACTGCAGACGGGTCACCCATGAGAAGCCTGTACACCATGGCCTGTATGCCTTTGCAAGAAAAGTGAGCAAAAATTGAAAAAGAAAGTCAAGGTGATGAAACCAACCTTGTTAAATTGTTAAACTCCTTCAACCCGGCCTAAAACTGTGATGAGTTTCTCAGCTCATTTCCCTCAAAATTCACAGAAAAATGTGCTTGAAAAGAAAACACAGAAGATCCGGAACTGAGATCTGGTGATATTCTGGCCAATTTTTTAGCCAGTGGTAAGGTTTTCTTACCAAATGATCACTATTTAAAATGAATAAAAAAGATTCTTATAAAAATGAGAAATAGGGATGCCTGGGTGGCTCAGAGGGTTGGGCCTCTGCCTTCGGCTCAGGTCATGATCCCAGGATCCTGGGATCCAGCCCCACGTCGGGCTCTCTGCTCGGCGGGCAGCCTTCTTTCCCCTCTCTCTCTCTGCCTGCCTCTCTGCCTACTTGTGATCTCTGTCTGTCAAGTAAATAAAATCTTTAAAAAAATGAGAAAGAAAAGGAAATAAAAGTAAAGATTGATCGGGCGCCTGGGTGGCTCAGTGGATTAAAGCCTCTGCCTTCAGCTCAGGTAGTTTCCCAGGGTCCTGGGATCTAGCCCTGCATCGGGCTCTCTGCTAAGCAGGGAGCCTGCTTCCTTTCCTCTCTCTGTGCCTGCCTCTCTGCCTACTTGTGATCTCTGTCTGTCAAATAAATAAATAAAATCTTTAAAAAAAAAAAGTAAAGATTGAGATTATAAGGCTTGTTCATGGAACTAGAGCGTAATGATATAGCTTCCCAGTTTTAAATTTTAATATTATTTATTTTGATTTGGGGATATTATTTTTAGTGTGTGATACCGATTCTGAAATCTACTTCATAAACTAATGGTTTTCACCAGGTCTCTCTTTTTAAAGCCCTAGCACAGTGGCTAGAAAACTTAGTAGCTCATTAGAACCACCTGGGTGGGGGCCAAGAGTGGATCTTATTATTTATTTATTTTCTGCCCCCTCCCTCCAAATTTTTATTTAGATTCTAGTTAGTTAACATGTAGTGTAGTTTTGTTTTCTGGAGTAGAATTTAGTGATTCATCCCTTCCATATAGCACCCAGTCCTCCTCACAAGTGCCTTCTTTAATACCCATGACCCATTTAGCCGATTCCCCCGTCCTGCTCCCAGGAGTGACTTTTAAAAGTTTCAGACCATACCCCAGATCATTTAAATAAGAATCTCTGGGGGTGGGATGTGGACACCAGAATATTTAAAGGCAGTGCCACCCCAGATGATTCCCATGTACAGCCAACACTGAGAACTATTGCAAACCAGTTGCCTCCTGACCATTGTATATAAATGATGTTATGAATGGTTGAGATGAAAGGATATCAAGAGGGTGATGCTCTCCAGTGCCCTCCTATGGAAAGGAGACTGGGAGGGAGAGCTGACAGGATTAGCTGACAGAAGAGGTGAAGTAGAGGTTTAACAGAAATTGTTGAGTCAAAGTTTTTGATCCAAGAGAGAGAATGATAGCTGCCTTTTATTGAATGGGCAGACTGCACGAATCCCAAAAATGGTGGGGCTTAGTGGGGAGGTGGAAGACTGGATTTGGGACATGTGAAATTCAATATGCCTTTGAGGTAGCCTAGGCAAAAATTCAATAAGGCTGTTCTGGAATCCAGGCTAGACGCACACATCTGGGAGTCTTCAGCATGGAGGTGGTATTTAAAGCAGTGAGCTCAGATGGTTACCTAAGCAGTAAGTATAGGTAAGGGGGAGGAAGGAGATAGGGGCTGAAGACCAAGCCCTGATGCAGCTCCAGGGAGAGGTGAAAGAGATGACAAGGGAGTAGCTGCGAGGTAGGAGGAAAGCCAGAACATGGGGTGTGTTGGAGGTCACGTTAGGTAAGGCGAAGACTGAGAACAGACCCTTGGCTTTCATTCCATGGAGGTGGCCAGAGGAAGGAGAGGAACAGAGGTGCATGACAAAAGAGAAAATACTACCACAGCACACAGGATTTTCTCTAGTAGTATTTAACATCAGATAGCTGGATTAGCGTAGGGTTAGGCAAGGTATGAGAGCACAGAGAAGAAGGGAAGGTGGAGATCCCTTAGGACGTTGGAATCAAAGTAGCATAATGGGAGGAGAGACTGTTGCATAAAGAAGGGTGTGGTTTGATGGCCCATAGGTCCTAAAGGATCTGAAGAACAGAGATGGTGGGAATGACCACAGAGAACCTGGGAAGAGAGAGCTTGGGTGGGACTGAGATTTTGAGTTATAACTCTAACAGAGAAACAGTGTGGGGTGAGAACAATTTCTAGTGATGTAGCTACTTAAAGTACTTTAATGCATGAGAGGGAGTAACCAGGAAGTAGGGAAAAATGTTGATGACAAAGGGAATAAGTGGTCAGAAGGCAGGACCTTGGTGGAACAGCCCTTTAATGAGAGGGTGCATGTGGACAATGGTCTCGAAGTGGAAGAGATCAGTGAGGAGCACCCATAGCCACCCCCAACCCTGCAAAGGGCCATGGGTGTCATCATGGGAGAAGCAGGCTCTCCAAGGAAAGGGGAGGATGGGAGAGGCAAGGTATGGGGGTACAGAGCTTTATAGGCTAAGGTTTTAGGGAAGCTGATGAGGGGGAGCATTTAAGATTATGTGGGGTTCATGAGTAGAGCTAGGAATGTGAGCAGTGTTGATGCCTGCTAGGCTCCCTCCTCTGTGAGGTGGGGGCTCTTTGGAGCTTGTGTTCCCAAGAGTGCTGTGGCCAGAGGCAGAATTCTGCTTTCTGGCTGTCAAAGAGGGGAGCAAGAAGGCAGAGCTGAGAAATTCCATCCTTGGGGGGACAGCAAGT